GCCTGATCATCAAGGGCAAGGTCCAAAGAACTGCGAAAGAAAGGGACCGTCCTTCCCCAGGAATCTGGAAAGGGAAGAATTGCCGGGTCAGAGCTGGCTGAGACTAAGAGGCCTGAGAGTGGGCTCCACGGAGAAGTTTAGCCACATGCTGGTCTTTGCTGAATCCAGACTGAAATCACGATTTCAAGAGCCGAACTGAATCAGGTTGAGTTATGACCTAAGGGCAAATGCACCTAAGCATGTGCATGATCTTTGATGCTGTGTGCTGTCCCTTTTCTGAAATTCCTTCCCAGTGTGGCCCCCTTGTTTGCCTGGCTGAGTGAGCTTATGCTGCACGCAAGGGAGATAGGCAAAAAGAAACCATGACTAATGTAGACCAGGGCTATCACCTCTCTTTTTCTTTTATGATTTTCTTTGGGAGGAAGAGAAAATTAGAGGACCTTCCCCGTGGGGATGGCCAGGGCTGTTTTCCATGTTCTTCCTCTTTATCACCCTATGGTGATCTCCGAGGCCCTTTATCCTCAAGGCTTCCTATGTACGCTCTCATCACCTTGAACTGCTCTTGCATCACTCAAATCCCTTTTCCTGACTCCGACGCTCATCCTTCTGGTCTCTTTTCAATAATGCTGGTCTCATTACCAGGTGTGTCTCTTTCTCTTTTCTAGGATCTTTCTGTCTTTCTTAACTTAGTCCTACATGGATATTATCCTCCATGACTCATGATCAGTCACCTCTACTTACTATTTTTAAAAATAACTTTTCACAGTCATTCATGCCATTTTCCCATATCCTCTGTCCATCGATTTCCCTTCCCCTCGTATCTTTATCTACCCTTCAGTTACTGTAACACTCCAAAGTGCTGTCTGTCTTGTATATGTTTCCATTACATAACTGTTTTTCCTCTTTGTCCAGGTTTCAAATCCAAGCTGCCATATTTCACTGGGCGTACTCTGTCTTACCTTCGTATTTCCCACTTTTTCTACATCATTCTACTCTGCTAAACATGGGCTTTTAATCTTCTTTATCAAAAGATGTAATCCCTGAATGATTCTTAGCGATGACTGTGGCTTCAGATGTCATTCTTATGCCCATCATGAAGCATATGTTTTTGGAGTAGATCTCTTTCCTGGATGCCAGTAGACTGACTTGACATCTCAGCCTGGCATCTCAAATGTGACATGACCGGGATTGAGCTCCCAACCATCCATCCCAAACTCACTTCTTCTTCTTTTTTTATGAACCCAATCTGAAGTTTATTTCTACGTTTCAAACCAGTCAGAATAAACAGCAACGTCAGTCTCCAAAGGCCAAACCCACTTCTTTTGTCATTTTCATGATTGATTACACTCTTTCACATCCTATAAATTGCTCAGTAAATTCCCTTATCAATGCCTTCAAAATATATCCAGATTATTCCCAATTTAAGGCTGCCATTTTGCCAGCATCTTTACCTAGATGATAAATGTCTCTGCTTCCACTTTTTTCACCTTTTACAAAAACCACCACTAGAACACTCAGTAAAATGGTAAGTCAGATCACAACACTATTCAAGAGATCTTCCAATGAATTTTCATCTTATATTTTGGAAAAGACAAAATCTTATGATTCCCTACATAGTCACGCATGAGTCACCTACCCCTGATCTCACCTTCAACTGTCCTGCTCATTTTCTTCTCCTCATGGGCCTTGTAGTCCCTTACACATGTGCTCCTGTTGAAATGCTTTTCAGCCAGATATTTGCATGCCAGCTCTCTCACCTTTCAAGTTTTAATACCAATGCTACCTCCTCATCGAAGCCTTCCTTAGTTATTTATATAAAACCACAACCCTTTCTGTACCCATTACTTATTTCTACCCTCTGAGATAGTTAAGGTTTTATTGTGCCAACCTGGCC